CAATGGCAGGTGAGACAAAAACGTATTCGAGAATTGAAAACGATTTTGAAAGTCTAAATACTCTATGTCCAGGGATCAAGTGGACATAAGGCACAGTTGCTATTGGTTAAGTAAAACTGAGAGAATTTTGGTGCGCGATAATATACTTATATTTATGAAAAAATCAAAAAATCAGTAAGAAAAGATATACCCCACAATAGGCACTTTCCCCAGGCAGAAGATTTCGCATTTGGCAAAAGGAAGCTCATTCAAAGGTCGGCCTCCCGGCCTAACTGAAATGTTTAAAGATAATGCTGCATAGACGAGTTACATAATGGGCCTACCTAAGCAATCCTTCAAAATCAAACGCTTATTTTGTATTTTGGCGAAATCGTTGTTAGCATATCGACTGTACACATTGTTCTGTCTAACAGCCCAACGCGGTGATACGGTCGGAAGTGGTGTTTGACAGATTAATCATTGTTTGGCGCAAGCAGAAGCAGCTGTAAATTAGACACATAGCTATGTTATATGTTCAGGCGCCGGTATCATGGTCCAGCTAATGACCAATGACCGTCAAGTGTTTTCAGTCTACAAGCTGTATACTCTACATATAAGGGAAAAGATGCATTCAGTTATGCCATTATGCAAATGCCTTAAGGGGCTCACGAGCTATTGCAGATACGATGGTGCTCTAGTGCACATTGCACAGTCTTAAAAAATATCATATTTTAAAACTTTTATTGAACTGAATGATACCCTGTCTTTGGGAAAATGATTTGAAGAAGATGTGATCCACTGTCAAATCAGAACGTGAAATAACATTTTGTAGATACATTGATATTTGTCAGCTTTTATGTTAGGTCTTTCAGGCCCCACAGTCGTCGGTGAAATTGCTAACTGCATGTCTTCATTCTCTCGCAACGCCGCGGTTCTTCCTCAACATCCCATCCACACCAACCATTGCATCTCGACTAAAATGATACTGACTGTCCTTACAGTACCTGTGCTAACTCATGAAATGCCGAGGTCAAAATTATAGTGGACAATGTAGCGTATTTTTGGTGTCGTTATTTGTGTTTATTTAGTTGAAATAAGGACGAAAAGACCGTTTTCTGAAGGAATGTTTGATACGGATCTGCATATTAAATAGAAAACGGGCCGGATTTAGTCGAAATCGGAGGATTCCTGATATTCAAGCAGTTTCCTACGCTATTAAAGCTTTCGGATGGAAATTCTTTGTGTTACCTTATTAATCTGTTTAAGACGATTTATAAAAGGACGAAATTTTTTAATAAACTTTCGAACAAAAAGAAAAAATTAAATTTCAATATCAACAAAATCAGGGAAATGCAGATAAATTATTTCTTATTGTGTTCAGGAAATAACGTGCGATTCTTTATCAAAAAAATCTATTTTACAAATTCGTAAAGTTTTGTGTTTCAAAATACCGAAATAAAAAAAGTTTTTCAGTGTGATTGTTTTACCAGACTGAAAATGCGTGTCGTAAACGAATATATATTGAGTTCGCGCGACATGCCGTCACTTTTCTCTGCCACGCCAAACGATAACTATGTCTAAACAATACCTATCCGAAGTTGACTTCCAGCGCATTCGAATATTTTTGGCAGAGGGAATCCCGCATGAGTCGTTAGCTAGTATTTTCAATATTAGCAAGGTCACTCTGTGGCGCATTATTAATGATAAAACTGTTCCTAGAAATAAGATAGGGGGACCAAAACGGTCCACAAGTAAGCAAGACGACGATTTTATTCGTCGTACATTAAAAAGTTTCATTACATGCCCATTGAGACCATTCAGCGGGAACATCTGCCGATGTTTTCTATGAACATCATTAGAAAAAGGATGAAGGAATTTGAACTGCAGCGGCGGAAGGCCATGATTAAGCCATATTTAAGTAGAAAACTAATTAGAGAACGGCTTTTATTTGCTAAGAATTATATTGATTACAGATCTTCGTTTTGGAAGAGCATTTTCTTCTGCGATGAGGTTCTATTTTTAGACAAGCCTACGAAATCGCTCCAAACCGTCATATGTGGAAAGAACTTCCCAAGAGAACACACTACACCGACGGCAACATTCAAGAACTGTCGGCGGATGATGGTTTGGATGGCGATTAAATTCGGTGAGCGGCCTGTCTGGCGGTCAACATCCGACACCATCAACATCAAGGTGTTCATTGCAATTGTCAAGGATGCTTTCGGCTACAACGGCATAAGTCGGCGCCGAATGAATACTGTAATTTTGCAGGACAATGCACCTGTCCACCGCTCTAAAGAGGTACGAATTTGATGCCGCTTGCAAATATAATCTAACATTTTAGTCAACAACCACGCTCTCCGCAATTGGCCTCCAATGCATTTTCATCCCGGCCAACAGTCCCGACCTCAATCCTATCGAAAATCTTTTTGGAATAGTCAAAAGAAATTGGCACAAAGCTAAGAAGACCCTTTCGATGCAGGAAAAATTGGATTTCATACTCAATAATTACATTTTACAATCCACCATAGATAACCTTGTCATGTCTATGTCGGACAGACTTTCTGCTGTTATTAATTCGAATGGACAATCTACAAAGTACTAATTTTTTGTATCTGTTTCTGTCCTTAAGTATTTTTGACCTTTTATGCGCCCTACTCCTTTAAACGTCCTCATACGTAGCCTTTATAAACTTGGTTGTAATATAGGCGTTTCTCGAAAATGTGACTTTTGTCGAAAATTATTTATTTTTACCTCAGTAAATAATATTTTCTTAACCAAACTTTCCTTTATTTGTTTGACACATCGTTTATTTTCCGCTATCAGACTTTGGGATCCGTAGTGTTTACCGATTTCGCGTTAAGGTCGTTAACCTGTGTTAATTCGTGACATTTCATGAGTTAGCACAGGTACTGTAATTATCCTTCATATACCCCGAACATCCCTTTTGGGAAAAGGCGGACACTATTCCATTTGAGTCACAAGCCACACATTGTTGATTGTATAATTTTCCAAATGAATGCACTATGCTGCTGAGCACTTATTAAAAGCAGGCGCTTAGTTAGTAACCAGATGTCTGATTCCTTGTATAGCGATTACGGGTGTTCATGCACAAGGGGCTGCAGTGTACATCGGATGCAGTCGTCATGCTGCCGCCAACCTATAAAGATCCACGTCTTTCCCTCTTCATCATGATTGTGTCACTCAAGGGGACTCAAACGCACGGACTGGCTAAGTGGCTGTTCCGTAATCTCAAGTTCCTGACTCAAAGAACATCTCAACGCCGTTTTCCCGGACATTCAATTTACGACAGAGGAGGAAAGGAACAAGCAGCTGAACTTCCGAGATGTTCTCGTATGCCGGAAAGATTACAGTGGACTAAAGACCAAAATGTTCACGAAAGTGACAAATACGATTCACGCACTAAACTTCAACAGCTACCATCCAATCAGCCACAAACGCAGTTGTGTAAGGACGCTTTATCGACGTGTCAAAACGCACTGCAGTGAATGGGGAGACAAGATTGCCGAGCTAAAACAACTCCAACGGGTCTTCAAAGACAATGTCTACCCTCACAACTTCGTCAACCGCTGCAAACCAACAGGAACGAATGGCCTAACCGCACGGACAGCAAAGTTTGGCGAGCGCATCCATATGTCAAGAATGTTTCCGAAGCTGTCGGCCGCCTTCTCGCACCACTTAGGGTTTGAGTTGCACACAGACTGGAGGAAACCATCAGGCGTAATTTAATGAAACCGAAAGACCAACTACACGGCAAGAAATGTTTGGAGTCCTTTATCGGATCTGGTGTAGATGCTGACAAAGCAAATACGTCGGAGAAACCGGAAGACAGCTCCGAACGAGAATGGCCGAACACGCTGCACCGGCTAGCTGTCAAGTTACGGCTCATTCGGCGAGATTCGGCCACGCATTCAAATTGGACGAGGCCGAAATTCTCGCAAGAGGTGACAACCGCGTCAGCCTTGAGCTACTTGAATTACGGTTTACTGGCGCTCAGTCCATTAACAAGTGCAATTATCTAACCCTTCCATATTGGGTGTTAAGACATCTCCTAGGCATGGTGATAATTTTTACAACCCTACTTAATTAAACTTTTCGAAAGGAAAGCGCATTTTGGAAATGCTCTTGAGATGTCATGAGTTAACCCAAATAATGTATGACTTCTTTTTCCTTCAAGTACGTTCGCGCAACCACTTAAAGATTCACAATCAATTTGTGAGCGTGTATGCAACGAAGTTGTGTAAAAGTGCTGCACCATTTTCATCCCCCTACATAGATTTAGTCGCAGTAAGAATGCAAGCCAGCAGATTGATTGATTTTGAGTAGATCTGGGGTTTTTCATCATGAGTTCTAGCACCTTATAGTAGGCACAATGTAAAATTCTAGGCAGTACAGAATATCACTTTAAATTTCTTTGCTAAAAACAAAGCAAATAAGTGCTCAAAAATTACCCGCATGAGAGGGGCGATAGAGGCATTATTTGTTGTCTGTATTTGAAAAATTTATTCATAATGTTTGTTTTGATTCTTCCAGAACCTGCTTCAGGGGATACGGAAACACATCAAACGCTTCTGGATTACGGGACTCTGGGGGGTGTTAACCCCCTGGCGAAGATTTTCTACGTATTAATGTATATCATTCGTATACCCCTAAAAACCGTAATGACGTCTGAATGCGCATCTACAATGCACATGATTATCGGCATTTGAATAGTACCTCCACGTATGAATGATTTGTCAAATCCGTGCGGCAATTTACGCGTGCATAACGGCTGATTAGTGGGTTTAAAAGTCGCACCGAATGACACACAGAGTGCAAGCGGTACCGCAGCAAACATGCTATAAAATTTTCGCGGAGCTGTTAGTGAGTCGTGAATAGCCAGTAGGTCAAACAAGATGCTCCAGTACGCTCCGCGCCCAAATAGACATATAGTCTACTTCATCATGACGATAGGTATCCTCTGTTATATATTTCATGAAAGACGGCGGACTTTCGCCTACATGGAGCCTCGGATGATCAGAAATACAATTACTGGAAAGTCCGATTGGCAACACCTTGTTTACTCGCCTAAGACCAACAGTTTTGAGTTGTCACTCGTGGTGGACGTTGCTAATGGTGGTCGCGGCATCGGCAGAAGTTCCGACCGGCGGATCCCTAGTCGACACATCCATCCGCGTCTTCCAAGCCAACAAACCTATACATTTGCGGAGATGGCGGAGATAGAGGATAAAAACTGGAGAGTCCCAATTCCCCGATCGGTTTTCATGCTCTACCCACAGGCGCTGGACATTAAACAGGTGGTGGCAAATATAACGAACTACCGTCCCATAACAGAGGTACTTGTCCTTTTGTAATATCTGTCGTATGAGGCGTTTAGTCCACGCCCTAACTCTTATTCAAGTTTTATTTGAACGCAAGTTGCATTCAAACATATTCGGATCATACGATTATGTATATGCGGGTGCCCGTAACTAAATATTCTGATGCGAGTTAACCAGGCCGCATGAATTTCACTGGTAAAAACCATTAAATATCTTAGACGTATTTTTTTCATTGTTACCTGATGCATGTGGACGTTTGATTTTTAAGCTACATCTTCTTTTAAATCACAGCTACATTAACGGTTTAAAAGGACCTTAGATTAATCCTACGTAGGAGAGTTTTTAAGACGTTATCGGAAGTGTTGACATTTTGTAACTTTACCTGGATTCCTCATGCTGTCTGTAGAGTTGGTTACACGGCGCACGATGGTCACAAGATGGTTTCTTGTTAGTGACTCAAAGGTGTAAAGCAGCTTGACGTTGAGGAATTATTAAATGCCGGTTTTGAAACGATTGGCGCAGGGGATTGATGGTTGTTAAATTCAGAGAATTACGTAAAGTGAATGATTTTCATTCAGATTCACAGAATAAAACGAAATAAGCCTCAGCGTTGTCCACGTAGAAGGAAAGAAATAGATTGGGTTAAGAATAGCATTATACGCAAACGATCTAACTTAATTAAATGTCTGATTAAATGACCAATTAATTAACGCTCAATTGAATGTTTGGCACAGATATGCGGTTGGATAAATGTCCAGCAAAGGTCCAACACCAAGACTTTTACGAAGTATTAAGCAGTGATGCTGCCTTTCAGTTAGAAATGCGACATCGAGTTAGCTTACTCCTTTGCTGGAAATGCTCCGAATTCTATCGTGGGATGGTAGAGTCTGATAAATTACTACCGAATTCACACTTTCGTCCTTAAAATGAAGGAGCATTAATAAAATGAAGATAAGGCGGCATTTCTTTAAAAAACTGGCCTCTGTAAAATAAACGCATATTTTGATATCGACATATCATGTACCAATATTATATAAAGAAGGCCAGCCGGAACTGGAGTCAGAGTAACCTGGAATGTCTATCGATAAATTCGCAGCCTGTGGATTTGGACAATAATGTGTAAATCAGCACAATCGACCGTGCATGAAGCAATGGGGTAGTTTTTACATTTGGCTTGATTTTCACAATTACAAATAGTCTTTAAATTTAAGAATCTCATGTGACACGGGAACTTACCTGATGTAGACATGTGCGGAAACGTTTTAACATTTGTTTCTTTCGGTTCCGTTTAATTTTAAAGGGAACGGTGGAATGCAGATAGCAAAATTAATGTTCCCAGACGAAAATACACAATTGGTTGGTTAACTCATTTCATGAATTAACCCATCTTCTGTATATTAATCGAAAAACTGGCATCCCATGATATTGACTAAGAAGGATGGAGTTCTTTGGTAAACAGAAAACTTTACTTTGTTAATTTTCGAGACTGGTTCCCCAGCTGGTATTCAAACTATGGAAGTAAAATGCATTTAACATCTTAACCGATTGTGGCCAATGACTGTATGATTGGCTTAAATCTGAGCCAATGTGTGTTAATTGCTATTTTTCATCCTCTCTCGATTGATTGAGCCATCTTCAATTTGTCTTTAACGATTTTGTATGTGGCATCCAGACCAATATGTCGGTTGATGCATGCTTCGTGTGAGTTCACTGACTGCCACTGACTGAGTGTTTCGGTCAACGAAACCTGAACGCGCGCAGATTTTCTAATACCAGATGACATACGCAGATGCACGTTAATATCCTCATGCATAACCAACCGAATGCTGGTTATAATTCCGATGCAAATATAGACCGTGTTCGCAAACCTCATCTTCTCCTTGATGTTGACAGTAAGGGTGCATCATCCAAGGTCAGTATAAGCTTCAGACAGTCCTCGTTGCTTTCAATGTAATCGACCAAAACCCAGCAGTCCAAATTATCTTCTCTTTGCATTGTCTGGCATTCATTTCAAACAGTTTGACGCCTGAAATCACCAGATAAAATGTAGTGCTAGAATGCACTGGCTATTCCGACAAAAAACGTGCTGAAAGTACGGCGAATAATAGATTGATATCACCAATCTGAACGATACATCATGTGCTTTACGTGCCATTTATAACCCGTGGGACGTCTGTCGAAGCCAGGAGGTCATACGTAGATTTCGGGCACAGTCACCATTTGCAGACAAACGATAGCCATGAGGATTTGGGGCACGGTAATGACAATTTCTGGCTGATTGGCCACAAACGGCCACCCATAACTAAATTCACTTTGTAACGTAGAGGTAATGCCTGCGACTTTTTGTTTTAAATCAAGTAGTACAAGCGAATGACTAATCATTTAGCTGGATCGCCTCCTCCTTCTTTGCAGGCACCAATATTCAATCAGACAATCAGATTCCTGAAAGTCAGCTCAACTGTCTGCGTGCCGGGAAAACCAGTCAAAAGGAATCTGGATGCTATTGTGATCGTCAAGTCCGCTGTCTACAATTTTGCAGATCGTAATCGCTTACGAAATGCTTTTGGTAAGGAAAAACAGCGTGAGCCTGAATTCCGCATGGCTATGGTCTTCTCCGTGGGACTACCCCGCAGCAGCGGAGGTCGGTTCTTCCAACGTGACGGCTTTAACGTCTCATTGCCAGATCGGGCAGGTGAGGCCATGGAGGAGATGCAAACAAAGAGGACAGAAGTTCTGAGAAATCTGACAGAAGAAGCTAGAATCAACGGTGACCTTGTACTGGGTGACTACGAGGACACCTATTATAACCTCAGCCTCAAATTATTCCACATATACCAATGGGCCTCTAGCTTCTGTCGGCCGCATTTCACCTCCCAACAACGACCTCCTGTCTTTATCTTCCTAGATGATGATTTTGCTTTCAATGCAAGGCGTATGAAGGTCGAATTGGGGGCCCTCACGGACGCGCAGATACGACGAGTGATTTGGGGCTTGCCGCGTAATCACTCACCAGCAGTTCGGCATTCGTACTCAAAGCGCTGGGAAAAGTGGTCCGTCTCCAAACGTGAGATGCCCTGGCCTTACTACCCGCATTTAGCCCCCGGCTGTTTTTCCGTCATTGGCGCTGATGTTCTCCAGGAAATTGCGCTGGCCATGTATTTCACCCTGCAGTTTCCATTAGACGATGCCTGGTTAGGCATCGTCATGACAAAGTTAGATCTTGAATTTCAATTTCATCGGCGCATGTACAACAAATGGCCTAGGGGCTGTTAGAAAGAATTCGGTTCTGTTTGCACCCCTAGACTACCTTCTTACTTCAAAATGACTGCAAGTAACGTTTACTTGTAGATCCTAGTTTATCCTATTTATATGATATACATTTGTCTTTAAGCCAACTATATGCGTAAGGTGGCATTCTTGCTATTATATCAGTTCCGGATTGAAGCATGCCTGAGATGGCGTGTAGTCGTTGGGCGGACTTGATAGCTAAGGACATTTAGCTATAAACTCGTAGCTTTAATGTGGTCAGTATATCTAAAGAGTATCCCAGATATATCTCTAGCACGGGAAGTGGTTATGTATTCCAGGCAAACCCACTCCTACCCTTCATCCGCAAACAGGCTGAACTAGAAAATCTAATTGAAACCTCGTTTTATCTGGCCATCATGATGACCGTAAATGAAAAAGCAAATGAATTTGATGATATTGGCATGTCAACACCTAATTTCGTAACAATAAATCAGTGGTTGATGCCCAATGCCAATGCTAATTTCTAACGCCATGCTTAGCATTAACAATTAAATCGAGCGCGAAGGGGAATGAGTGAAGCTGAAGAGGGTCAAATTAAGCATGCCAAATCAGCATACAGGAGGTTGCCAAGATGATGAGAGGTGTCCACATTTACGAATGATTACTAATCACCTGCAAAACGACTGCAACGCATAGACCCCAAACTTACAAAAATAAATAATGACTTTAGAGAATAAAGAATAAGGAACGTAGAATTGAAGGTAATTTAATCTTGTTTAAAAATGCCAATTCGTTAGAAAAGCAAAACAATCTAAAAACGTCAAAATGGTTATAATTATGTAACCTGTAGTTTATATGCAGAGAAAGTCTGCCTATGAATAACAATGAGTAGATATAACTGAACAAATAATATAGTCTCCGAAAGTCACCTTTAATTTGGCTCACATTTGAATACTATATCTGAATCGATGTAATTTTTGCCTACAACCCGCATTTTGAGCATAGGCTCCAGAACGGTTTCCCAAAGCTTCGGTGTATTCTTTAAGCTTCTGAATTGATTGAGATACATTTTAATATGGAAAACTGGATTTTGCCTGACGTTGCCGAAAGTAACGTCGTAGGATTACCTGTGTTCACAAAGGCCTATGCGGTCAGGGCAGCAAACGGCTAATAAATTTCATTACAGTTGTCGGGAATGACCGTAAATATAGTTGTGTGCGTATCACTCGAATGTTTTCTTCGTGAAATGCGCTTGACTATTTTGTTTGTTCTGGATTACGGTAAGTTTTATGTTGGCCTTGAGATATCCCTGCATACTCCATGACTGCCAACGTTTTTGACCTATAGTACAGGAAGGCAGATCCACTAACATGTGTTTATTGAAAGCTTAAAAATAAGTCGTATCGTCAACTGGAAAATGTAGAGTGAAGTACTTAACAGGGGCAGTTTCCTGAAGAAGGTCGGCGCCGATGACAAGAAAGGCGCCGGAGGCGTAAGGCAAGAAGTAGGGCCAGGGCATTTGGCGTTTAGAGAAGATCCATTTTTCAAAACCTGTCGACACGAGAGGACGATATACTTTACTCCATATCTGCAGCATGCCCCAGGTCACTCGTCGAATTTGCGTGTCCGAGAATGCCTTCAGTTCAGTCTTCAAAATGGTTGCATTGAAGGCTTAATCATCGTCCAGAAGAATGAAGACATGAGGTCGTTGTTGGGAAGTGAAATGTGGACTACAGAAACGAGAGGCCCATTGGAAGGTGTGAAATAATTTGAGACTGAGGTTATAGTAGGTGTCCTCGTAGTCACCCAACAGGAGGTCACCGTTGACTTGAGCTTCATCTGCCAGTTTTCTGAGAACTCCCGGCCCTTCATTCCGCATCTTCTCCAGCGACTCGCCCGCCCGGCCCGGCAGTGAGATGTTTAAACCGTCACGCTGAAAGTACTGACACCCGCTGCTTCGGAGTAGTCCTACGGAGAAGACCATGGCCATGCGGAAAGCTCGTTCACGCTTAACTTCTTTGGCATAGGTTCTCCGAATGCTATCACAAACTGCAATGCGTAGACGGTTGACATAACCACTACGATCGAATTCAGAGCTTTTTTGACTGCTTTTCTTGGCACGCAGACAGTCGAGCTGATGTTTAAGAATCTGAATGTCTAATTAAATACGGGAGCCTATAAAAGGGAGTGAAAGTGACTCAGCCAGAAGAGATGCCGTGCACTGTACAAAATGAGTTAAAATGAACAGTCGTATGAGTAGTTCGTCACTGACAACGCTCGATGGAGGGGATTCATTGAATTGCTTACTGTAAGAAAACTTTGCTCGTTAGGCGACTTACCAGCAGTTGGGACCAGAAGCACAAAAAATACGCAAACAGAGCACCAAGTTACTATTTCCCTTGTGCATGACAGAAATGAAATGATATCACTTTGATCCTTTAAAACAGTGTCTAGTTGGCATACACTTCTATATATTTAGCTATATATCCAGACATAACTGCTAGCCAATCGCCTGATTTGACCTGGTTTTTGACCTATAGTGCAGGAAGGCAGATTCACTAACATTAAATATTAAAAATTAAAGCTATTTAAAGCTTAAACAATGTATTGTTAAGGAATTTACCGAGGAAACTAGTGTTCGGCAGATAATTTTCCTGTGAATAAGAGTTTAGGCAACACAAGAAGCTGCATTCACAATAAACACTGTACAAAAATATACTTTTCATCAATCACAAAACTTCACTAAATGGCCTTTTTATCGAGTGCCTTAACGCTGCGTTTCCTTGACGGATGCCAGTGTATTTCACTATCAAACATGATAAAACAGAGAAAAAATTGACACTTCTGACCATTGCTTTCACTTTGTTGAAATGAAACAGATATTTTGCTGCCGCAAACGCAAGAGCATGTCTTATCCTTTGCACTGAGGTAATTTATGCAACATTTGCTCGATTGCGGCCGCGTTTTCCGACTATGAATGCAAGGTAGAATGGCCATGTAAATGTTCGGTTTTGATGAAATTATTAATAGTATGCTCGTTTCATTTCTAAATTATGCGTGTGCAAAATGTTGACCCCAGTAGAAGTAAGGATTCATATGTGAAAATTACAATTTTCAAAACGACAACACAACTTCGGCTCACTCAAACAAATGGTTGCGTGCGTTTACAGTGCATACACATGAGGTTTGCATCCGCGAATTCAAATAGTGCAGACATTTACCTGGATGAAAATAAAGGTGGGAGTTTTGTCAAAACTGGCGTGTTTTCCATTTTAAGTGCTGCATATCAGCCGAATAACTCCGCCTATTTTAACAATCAAACAAACAAATCTCCAACCAAAGTGGATAACTATCATTTGTGCTGTCTTTAGATCATGCTTACCTATAAGAAAGCATTTTGGGATATGTAATATTAAACTAAAATATCAAATTTAGGCAAGCCCTGTTCAGTAGAATGCTGGTCAGTAAATCACTCTCCACATGCAGAATCGCAAACGAAGTCTAGAAATGATATAACTAGAGGACGTTGCCTAAATATATTGCTTCATTCATTTTCGCGCACATAAGTAAATAATTTGCCAGGTAAAATCGGTTAGAGGGATCGAGGGATGTCAACCAAGCGCGGCTGGGCGAATGCGCAGAAGGCGTGGCTTCTAGGTTGTTAGTCGGCGGAAAAACGCTGCCGACCCGAACAAACAAAGTGATAAATTTTGGATCAAATTGGATTACTATAGTAAATGTCGACATTAACTTTAACGAACTATAAGGTAGGGTAGTGCAAAGCGTAATTTTTAAACAGAAAATAATATAGACGTGTCTTTGCATACGAGTGTTCAAAAATGGAGCAATTTTCTAAAGAGAGAGAGGGAGGGAGCTTAGGAGACACGCGAGGGACAAGTTAGCCACCACTTCATCCAAGATCAGTCTCAGGCAATTTCTTCTGCACTGCTCAAAGAACGTCTCAACAGCCTCTTCCCCTACATGTAATTTACGATGGAGGAAGAAGAAAATAACCAGCTGACATTCCTAGATGTCGTCGTCTGTCGCAAAGATTGCGGTGGCCTAAACATCAAAGTTTTCCGAAAAACGACGAACATGACGCAAATACTGAACTTCAACAGTAACCTCTCAAATAGCCACAAACGCAGTTGCGTAAGAACGTTTTTTTCGGCGTGTTGAGACGCACTGCACTGCTTCGCCCTGTTGTCAAGTTTTCTTAACGTTTAAAATCTTTACATTATTCACTGCTCAGTTTTACTTGCTGCTTTTAAGGCTAGGGCGTCGTGTGATATAAGTTGTTAGTTCGTGAGTACATTACCATCAACGTCATTGGTGATTCTTGACGTTAACGCAGACTCTATACCTTTCTGTCATACTGAATAACATTTAACGTTCTATTTGTCTGTGAATATCCGTTCTATTTCCGTTTACGTATTACACGAATCCAGATATATTACCTTCTCTGTCATATGATGTCTCATTCAAACAAACAAAGTGATGCCTCCGCCCAGTCCATTCATGCCATCACTTTTACCTTGCCAGATTTATGGTAACACTCTCCAGAACTATAATTCATCCGCATGGAATTAGTCTTTTATTCTGCTAACGTTACCAAGGGGCTGGCGAAATACCAGAAACGTGTGGGGGTCTACCCGCTAGTGTCCGCTCTCTAGTTCACTCCTTGCTATCAAATCCTCCTGCAAATGCTGCCGTCTCCACGTTAAAGGCATAAATTCTCCAACTTGATTCTGTGTTCGACCGACAAAGGCATCACCATTCACTTAAGTAGAACTACATGGGTGAGCGAAGGCCCTCAGAGCTTCTACGTCGGATGCGTTCTCTTCTTAGAGACACGCAGGTTGACGATAAATTTGTCAAGGATATGTTCCTAGAGCGTCTACCCGCACATGATCAAACGATCCCGGCGTCCGGCTCTCAACATCTTACGGTCTTACAGCTGGCTGAGATAGCAGATCGAATGATAGAGGTGCAGCAATTCCAGTCACCTTTTGCTTCCCAGATCT